GATTTGCCTATTTCATATGAATAAACCCAAATCATATGAATGTTCTGGAATCAACAAATCACCGGGCTATTTGTTCGATTCGTATGTCCAGGATTGCTAGACAAAACGCGAAGCTTCACACAAGGAGCATGGTAATGAAAAGACTCCTGCGCATGTTGATTCCACAGAAATGAGGCTGTGCGTTTCATTGTGAATTTTTCGGGAGTTGAGAGCCGAAGATGAACTCCTGCAAGCAATTGACAAAAACCCAAACGTGTCAGGCTTGCGTGGCTCCTCGTCTTCAAGAAGCCCAAGCCGCTGGGCCCAATGTAAACCTCGCTTCCTCTTGCGCGGAGCCATGGGTGAACCTGGGCAATCACGCTTGGGGAAGGCATTGGATGACGGGGTAGGGCCGGGTTTTAAGAGAGAGTGTCACTTGGAGCAGCTTTGCAAGCCAGCGCTGACCTGTCTGAAATTGCGCGACCTTCTTTTGACTGCTTCTCTGAGTCGGCTGAGTTACTAACGATGGAGCCTAGTGGCTATCTTAGGCATCGCAAGCGAGCGCCGCTTGACTAGCTCAGGCCCGCTGGCTATGGACCACTTTTGGAGACACACCTAGCAAGGGCGAGTTCATAGCGAACCTGTGCAGCATTTGAATTTGGCATTGCTCAACTTTGATCGAGTGTTTGTGTGAAGCATGTCTCTTCAAAGAGGTCCAGCCAGAATGGACAACTGCCCCTCAAAGATTGCAATTGCTATATAGAGTTCACAGCCAAATACATCCTTCGGGAGGTTACAGTAGCCTGAATACATGCTTCTTTATTGAGGGGCAGCCGTCACTCCCACGGGCTTCTAAGATCCTACTTGGCGTCCAACGATTGCCAGCCTAGGAAGGAACGTGTTTCATCCAAGCTTTGTTAAATCCCGCAAGCAGCTTCAGTAAGCCTGCGGATGAAAACCCATCATGGGACCTGCAGAGCAGCTTTGCAGGCCTGCTCCCTCAGGCAGCGATTTTGTCGAGCGCGGCGAGGCCGTGCTTTTTGATCTTAGCAACAAACTCTTGGCGCGCAGGAATGTCCGTAGGATCAAGATCTCCAGCCTGAATTTCAGCAGCCTCGGATGTTCAGCTCTGGGGCTTGTTGTCAGCAGAGGTCTTCTTCGCGGTGTTCTCGGCCTTTGCGTCTGAGGTTGCAGGCTTCGCGCCTAGCTTCCCGGTCCTGCGTCGGGGCGCCGACTCCACAGGCTGCTCCTCCTTCTCGCGCATCGCGTCTTCATCCTCCTCTTCAGTTTCCTCTTTGTCATCCTCCACGGCGTCAGGCTCGCCATTCTCTTGATCGTCGTCGTTCTCCTCATCGTCAGCGCTCTTCTTGGCCTTGGAAGTAGCTTTGCTCTTCACTGCTGCCTTTGCCTTGGCCTTGGCTTTTGACTTAGCCTTGGCTTTTGCTTTCGCCTTGGCCTTTGCTTTAGCCTTCGCCTTTGCCCTCGGCAAAGGCTCCTCCTCCTGACCGTCATCCTCACCATCCGACAGCTCTTCGTTCGGCGCCTCCTCGTCCTCATTCTCGTCCTCCACCACAGAGCGCTTCGCGCCCCGTCCACGTCCACGTCCACGGCCTTTTGCGGCGCTCTCCTTCTTCTCTTTCTCGCGCACGCCCAGCTGCCGGCGCCGGGTCAGCACAGCCTGAGATAACAACCAGCCAAAACACGTTCGAGAATGCGTATGCGCAGCACTTGCTAGACCATGCGCTGGAAGGATTTAATTCGGGGTACCAGGGAGTGGACTAAGTAGGACAATGCTGGGCACGAAGTTGGGGCCAGGATTTCGGTTGTGGGTAGGTCGTTACGAAGGCTACGAGGGCTTGAAGGCATGATTGGCTCTCCACAATACAAAGATTTGGAACAGAATACGCAATAAAATCACACAAGGTCATGGCAGGTTCATGGGGGACGGGGACTTTGTAAGGTCAGCACATGCTTCAAATTCATACACTATATATATAGGAAACCTAGAACCCTTTCATGATTCCTGATCATTTTTAGGATTGTCTCGAGTAAGCTGCACGACCAAGAAACGTTGGGGTCAAGACTCAGCTCCTCCAAATGCCGCTTCTCGGAAGGATCATCCTCCTTCTGGACAACCTTTCGGCGCTTCTCAGCAGGCAGGGGTAGTGGCTCAGGGGTTTCCATCTCAGGCTGCTCAACCTGGGTCTCGTCGGTATCCAGGGCGTAGCCTCAGATCAGTAAGGCAGACCATGCGCAGAGCCAGGTACAAGTGTAGAAAGATTGTCAGTGCTAGCTATACAAGGGTTGCCTGCAATCACATTGAACCTTCCCTTGACTTACGTTAAACCTCGGATGTGCGTGACCTAAACATGACTGGCTTGCTCTGACCGATCTCCTTGATGTGCTTGCGCCATCAATGTGCTGGCTTGACGTCTCTGCCCTGTACCCCTATAAAGCCCAAGTAGCCTCGACGGGTGTCCGGAGTCCGCACAGGCGATGGTTCCGATGGTGGGGCACGCTTTGACCTGGCCAGATTCGCGGGGCAGAAAAAGTTGCATCTCTAGCATGGAGTACATATCGAGGATCTTCGAAGAAATGCACTTCAATGAGACATGTAACTGAAGCTTTTGAGGGTGCGACGCGTTTGCAACTCTCTCTTTGGCTTGGTAGATGAGGGCAAGGACCTGCTTGGTCTTGTAGCATCTCTTGCCTCATCCAAGCATTGGGCAACAACCCTATGATAATCTATCCGATGAACTATATTGGATCACACAAATCTTCTAGAATTACTATAACTCTATTGTAACTAGCAAGGCCACTGGGGACACTATTGAGTCAACAGCTTGGACTATGGAGAAATACAGACGTAAGATATCTATTGATGAGGGTACTTTGTAGTAAAGCATCCTCAGCATCATTGGCATGACCGCAATTGAATCTGCAACACGCATTTCCCTAACCAGCAACCCAAGCGCAGTATCTGCAAAAACGTGGCATAGACTACCAATACTCATCTTTACAGCAATCGCCAACAGATGATGAACCTCCCATGCGCTGACATCTTGCAGATTAGGTACACGTGCGCTCCATCCCACATTCTGGACAGCCCGGCAACTCGTGAAAGACATGGTTCTTCTCTGCCACGGGCCTGACCTCTTCCGAAGGCACGGTGGACGAGGATCCATTGGATTCCGAGGGCGCCTCCCTAGAAGCCCCAGAGCTCGCGTCTGAGCGGGCATCGTCAGCATCCTCCTTGGTTGCAGCCTTCGGCCACTCCAGAAACTCCAGGAAATCATTTTCCGACATATTCTTGTCGTGGAAGTCTTCATCAGAGTCCTCACAATGCGCGCAGACAAGCCCTATACAAGATTTATATCCTGAGCAAACTTGCCATCCAGCACAGGTAGCCAGACTCAGCTTCAGCATTGTCTACAAGCCTATGTACAGTGAGATCAAACAGACCATGAATAAACGGTTCGATGGTTGCAGCAAGACCCCTCAATTCATCACGTTTCGATCAGTCCTCATTATCATCACCGGAATTATCATCCGCATCATTCATGGAGCTCGCCACCCTTGCGCGCTTCGCGTCCACCAACTCCTGCAGCCAATCAGTTTGCCAGCTTACAAAGCCCTAAACAGGTGCGTACAGGGTGGAAATGGAAGAATGGCACGCTTCCTGCAATGCATCATGACATGCTGCGAAGAAACATTGCTCCTGAAGGGAGGGGTCATAAAGGAGCAGCAGATCCTGGAACGTCCGGTCCTGCAAATCTGCAACTTGAAAATGTATATTAGCCCTGGCTAGATCAATGCTGCGCATCTCAATTGGGCTCTAGCAGGCAAACGTGATTACACGAAATCACCACTGCATCAATCACTCGATCCTCTCTATAGTTCATGTGTATTTGAACTGTGCTCGGGGTCCTTCCCAAGCTCCTTCCGCACAGCCTTGCGCTTCATCCAGCTGAGCAGACGGCGGATGCTCCACCCATCCTTGGAATCGGTCGTCAACTCCACCTCGCGAGCAACCTTCTGGTACATGCTGGCACATTCCGCAATGAGTTCGTCAATGACTGGCATCTTGCCATCGGCAATCCTGAGCCTAATCAGCGCCGGCCTCAAGACTTCCTGATTCAACAGAGCGTTCTTGATGGTAGTGGCAGCAACCTTTTGGCTCTTGGGGTGAAGGATCAGCTTGCCCTGTTCCCGAACCCGTGCTCTAAGAACATCCACACCCTCCCAGGCAGTTGCCAAGCCCTGGCAATTGAACTTCACCACGGGGCGATCTGACGAGCGGTTCGGCATGCTTGGGGTAAACAGGTCGGGGCGCGGGAGCCCTAAGCTTGAAAGCTGAGCAGGCCTGACACACACCAAACATCCAATATGAACTTCTCAGAACTGCATGGACCATGGATGCAGCCAAGCCCATGCTTGCTGCTGGAAGCTAATTGTGGGCACAATGAGAGCCCGGCTGGCAGTCAAGAAGTCCGGGAGCTCCACAGTCCATCACCGACTGTTGGATACTTGATTTACCTTTTTGCTACGTGGAGCTATACTGGAATGCTCAATGAGTCAGATGACTCGTCCATTCCACAACATGTCAGTACGGAAGCTATGGAAAGACGCTGCTGAAAGATCGGAACGTTGTTCGAATTGGATTATACTCATTCTCTCGATCATCATTACTCTTCGACCATTCCAATAAGCTGCCCCTTGATTCATGGATTCATGGTTGCAGCACTGAGCAGCAACACCTGGCGGATCTTGCCCTTTCAATGCGCACCGCAAGCCATCCCAAGTCTTGCCACACCTTCATTTCAAGGCCCGCGCAAGCCCAACCCTGAAAAACCGGGTTTTCTGGGAAACCGGGTTATTATTACCTCTGGGCCAATAACCAGGTTCCTATGAACAAACCTACAAAAAAGCAGGTAAGAGGTTCCCAGGGAAGTGCTAGGGCGGGTGTTTGCTGCTGCTAGGTAGTGGAGAGGTAAAGTGTTAGCGCAAGTGCCTTGCAAGGGTTAACGTCGCATTTTCCCGCTCCTAGCAGAGGCTAGCGAAACGAAACACTGCTGTGTAAACCTTGGGAGGAGTTCCTGGGGTTGGTGGTGGGCTAGTTAGTAGGGCTAACACACGCACACGTAACGAGGTGCGAGGGACGACCATGTGTGTGAGCTAAATTTACCTTCTAGCGAAAGCATCGAAGGTGTTTCGCCGAAGGTGTTTCGCAACGAAACAATAGTTTCGACATTTTGTGATTTCAACATGCTAAACCCAAGGGGTTTGGACGCAGCAAGATATTTGATAGATATCCGTTGCCTGTTTGATATCAAGCCCCTTACGTTAGGGGGGGGAAATTTTGAGTTCCCACCCTACCCGCCCTGTAGTTGAAAGGGAGATGGCTAGCTGAAAGCTAAGGGCTAGAGACTTCTCTCGGGCTACAACGAGAGATTGGCTAGCGGAATGCTAGACACGAATTCTCCGTGGGTTTGCTGCTGTTAGGTAGTGGAGAGGTAAAGTGTTAGCGCAAGTGCCTTGCAAGGGTTAATGTCTGCATTTTCCCGCTACTCTTGTTTTCCTGCTCGCAAAGGCTAGCGAAACGAACCACTACGTTAGTAACGCTAACGCACGTTGTATTCCCCTTTTGTGCAAAAATGATTTGACATCGTTGAAAGTTGAAGAATTAACTGGACATTCTTTGCATTTTTCTTGGTGGACAGGATTTCCAACACACAAAAACAAAAGCAACCATCATCACTCATTTTTAAACTGGCCAAAGCTCCTTGACTTCAAGCGGAGTGGAGCCCCCGTGCACTGTGGAGCCCGGAGATTCTTGCCAGGCGGCACCAGACTTCGACGTTGAGCAGCTGGTGGAAGAGGCCAGGTTCGAGCCCAAAAACAAAAAGGATGTTTTTCTGGTGAGTTTTCTTTCACGAGTTTAGTGAAGAATAGAGGGGCGTTGAAGGCACAAGAGGGGTTGCTCAGGTCCAAGATGTAGGCTTGGGGCTCTGCAACTTGCGGTTCCTGACCAATGCCGCGGTGGCGGGCTGCGACCGCATCCCCGGCCGGACAGAACATCAGACCACGAGAGACTTGCTGAAGGGTCACAACAGAATCAGTTGACTCATCTTGCTCCTAAGAGGAGCACCGCCATGTTGGCCTTGGTAATGTTTAGTACGCGTGCCGGCCCCGGGCGCTCTCAGCGACAGCATTCCAGTCGCTTCGATGAGCTTTGTTGGAAACTTGTTGAAAAACCTTCTCTCCCAGACCCTGAGAAGTACGAGCACGAGTTGGCCATCTCTCTGAAGTCTGCAGGATGCTTAGAGAGGGGGTGTTGCGGCGGTATGCGTCAGTGTGTGTGTGTGTGTGTGTTCAGGTCCTTGGATCCAGCGATGATGTGGTTGCAGCGTGGATCCAGGACAAGAAGGCCAAGGCAGATCCCCAGGAGCCGAGAACGAGTCTTCTGCACAACCAGTGGGCACAAAGCGGAGCGTGGAGTGCGACGAAGCTGGCAGCACAGCAAAGTGGAACATGATTGGAGTTGTCAGGAACACGGGCGGATCCCAGGGCATGAGCTCATGGACCTCTCGCGCATGGCCCGCTTCTTTGCCGCCTGCTGCGCGGGCGTCTTAGCAAGCTCTGGAGAAGCACAAGCCAAGCCATGAGGTCATGAGCGCGCCCTTGGAGGCCAAGGACTCAACGGGCGAGCAGAAGGAGGAGGTTTGAGGTTACGTTTCGCTTGCTGGTGCAAAAGGCACCGGCAAATCTGGCAAAGCCCTGGACGTAAAAGTGGGGCAGGGAGCAAAGGGAGTTGAACGGGATGTGGAAGCGTCGCTCGTTTTTTGTTTTCGGAGGCCGCTGCTGCGCCGACGCCCTACGCTTCGGGCGGCCTTGCTGGAGGCTGCTGCTGCCTCTGTTTCTGCCGCCGCTGCTGTGCTCCAAGCACTTCAAACGACGAAGTGACCCCTTTTCTTTCTGTCAAGTTTTCCTCGCTCTCTCTCTCTCTCTCTGAGAAAACCGTCCCTCAAGGTGCCTCGTTTCCTTCTCATCCTTTTTCGTAAAATCGTGCCATCCGAAGTTTCAGACACCCAACAAGCTGCAAAGATAACTATATACACTGGCACAAGCTTGGGCACAAGCTTGGGCACAAGCTTGGCATGCTCCGTGGCAAACGCGCGGCTGCCAGCACCCTTCTGCGAACCAGCGCTGGAGACGCCCAAACAATTATGTCGGTTAGGAGGATTCAGAAAGCGACGCCCAGCATAGGATCATGAAATACTGAAATGCTGGAGTCGAAAGACAAAAATAGATAGCAAGACATCATCGCAGTGGAGCAATTTTCTGCAGCAAGCTTCGCATTGAGGGAGTGGTCTCGCACGTGATGTGGCTTGGCAAGCTTTCATGCCACGAGCGTGCTTTGAAAAGAAGAGATGTGAGGTCTTCCTTCGTTGCAGTGTTCACAGTGTTCACAGTGTTCAGGAGAGCCGAGGGCGCCTGCCGGGTGTGGACGACTACGGCTGGCAGCGGGGAGACAGGCAGGGCAGACGGGGCAGACACAGCAACCCACAGCAAAAGTGGCATGTAGCAGCTAAGCATGGCATGGCCAGGTGCTGTGTATGGTCCAACTCCGCTCAGCGATGGCAGTGTGCTTAGTGAAAGAAGGTGAAATGCAGAAGGAATAGCTTGATCAGATCAGATCAGTGATTTAGGTACGAAGGGGAGGTGGTGAATCTGGCAGAGCAGGCAACGGATAAGCTGCCGCAGGGCAGTGTGGAGGTGGCCTTCGAGCTGGGCCGAAAGCAGGGGACCAAGGCAAGGCAAAAGGAGCCCATAAAAGCTGCAGCTAGTTGCAGCTACTTGCAACTCGCTGCTAGCTTTGTGCCTTTCCAAGGTGGATCGCCCCCGCAGACCTCAGCAAGGCACTTCGCGAGGAAAAGTGTGGCTGCGTTTCCGCTGCTTTTCAGCTGCTCTGTCGCTGGTTCCAAGCCCAATTGTAGAAGGCAACGTTGGCAGCATGTGCCAGGTACTCGGCTCATAGCCAGTGCGCAGCAGCACTTCTGCTTCTGTTCGTTGCGGGCGTGCTTGTGGCAATGTGCCCGGCCGACCCGTTTTTGATCTGTTTAAATGGAATCAAACCGTCAAGTCAGTTGTTATTCACGCCTTCTTCCTTTCGCACGATTTCGCACTACTTCTTAGCGACGGGCTTTCGCCAGATCTGCCGCCGGAGCCCAGCGACGCCGAAGTCTTGGCGCGGCAGGCCGGTGGCCTCCGGCGGTTGGGCCCGGGCCAGGGCCGCCAGGGCCGCCAGGGCCCGGTGCCCGGAAGTATCGAAAAACGAGACGCGAATTGTTCAGGCCTGGGCCGGCCTGGTCTTTGGTCTGGACCTTACCACTTCGCAGCACTTTGCATTGTGTCCACGTCGTGTGTCTGCAGTCTGGCTGCCGCTCTTGGCTTGGCTCTTGCGCCATGTGCAGAGCTGAGTTGAGGTGATTTGCCAGGCGATCAAATCTTTGAGAATCTAAGGACCCGCGAGCTCGGGGGCCCTGCGGCAGTGGCCCGTGGGGTTTGGGAAGGGGGACAGTTGCTTTACAGGTTCTTTCGCCTGTCGCTGTGTGCTTGCCCACGTAGGCTTAGTGACAGACTCGTAAGCAACTCGTGTACAACAGACCATTTGGCGACCTCATCCGACCACACCTTATGTAGATGGTGGCTTATACAGAGCATAACCCCAAAATAGGCTTATTTCAGGATCCGGAGCCATTAGGATTTGACCCGAATATGGTCATTAGTTCTCAAGCAGGTCCACGAGGCGTTGATGTTGAAACAATCAGGGTTTTGCGCGCTGACATGCTGGACGTGTAACCATGTTGGCGTTGGCGATGTGTTGTGACGCGAAGACCTCAAGAAGATCGTGGCCTTCTTCCGGAAGTATTTAATCGGCGGTGTTCGAAACGTGTTGTGATGCCAAGACCTCGAGAAATCACAGCTTGTGAGCCGGATGCTTGGTGACGCTGCCATACAAAGTGTTGTAGCCCCATGAAGATCACGTACCTCCTAAGTGTCCTTCGTGGATGCCAGATTTCATTGGAGCTTGAATGGGAACCTGACATGAAAGCTATCATAGGACTTTAAGCGAATCATGTGATCTCGAAAGATGCCAGGTGGCTGCAGCACACTTCGTTTTCCATCAAAGAGCCTCGAACATGCTTGGGAAATCAGGGGGACCTTGCACCGTTACGGCAGCGAATACAAAAGAGGGATATTTGTAGCATGGACACACTCCGGCTGATATGCTGGATTTCTCGCATCCCGGAAATTGCATGCTCAAACATCTGCTGACTTCTTCGAAGTTAGCAACTTCACTGCTTCGTCTTCGACTAGAATGAAGGAATTTTTTTAAGACCTTACGAAACAAATTCATGGGGGCCCCCTTCTTGGTTAACACATCCACGATCATCTGGCTCGTTGCCATCCATCGGAGACTGATGCCGTACCTGCTGATGTCCTAGCATTTCTATGGCCATTCTCTTGTCCTTGATTTCCACTGTAGAGCTCTTGGTGTGGTCATACACTGGCTTGCAGTGTATGGCTGCTGTGATGGGTATCTGAGATCTGGCTGCTGTATGCCTGACATTGTTGAAGAGTGTAGTTTGCAAAGATGGCCTTGCAGCACATCGATCTAACCCACCGAGCCTCTGCTAGACCTCGTGACAGTGCTAACAGCTCAGCACCTAGCGTCGAGTGAGTCTGTCTGTCTTGCTTGTAGCTTCGCCAGCGCAATACTGAGAACACACTCCACTTCCAAGCTGGTAGCTTGTCGTCACAGGCTGCAATCATGTAGCCGGCTTGACTGCAATGATCAGTGCATTAGCCCATGTGGCGTCGGTCAGTACACCAAATGGACAGAATTTACGGGGATAGGCTCTACCCATATGTACGACCTACAATGATCACGAGCCATGCTGAGCACTTTGTTCACCTCTATCAGATCACCAACACAAGCGCAATTTACTCTTTGCTGCATAAGGGAACACCAAGCCGCGACACGAGACATGCTGTTAACGGCATTGTTCACTTGGTCAATCAACTCTTGGGTTTCTTGTTTGGTCACGAGGAAAGTTTCCAACTGAGCCTTAGCGTACGCAGATTTCCACACAGCCCCTTTTCGCTCAACAAGCCCATTCTGCCAAGGAGAATACGCCGCGGGCGCATCGCCAAAAAGTGCCATCCAGTGACAACCCGTGCTCAAACTCGCCCTCAAACTCCTTTCCCCGTCACAAAACAACCTCACAGGAGGACCGGCCCACTTTTTTCGGACATGTCTAGCCTGCATACCTTTCCACAGTGGTGTGCACATCTAATCCTGTGGCCTCGTTAACAATGTTCAAGAAATGAATTTTCGAGTGACGCACATCAAGCTCAAACGTGTCCACACACACTTGCTGATTGAACTCGGCGGCTTTCCGCATTTTTGTGACGTGATGGGATTTGGGTTGACTGAAGGCACCACATGCTTCACACTCAAGACCCCTAGCAAGTTTGAGAACATGCTCACTCGCATGCGCAGACTTCAACAGCATGACCTAAATTTTCGTGACACTTGCGCAACAGACACATGATCTTTCTCTCACTCTCCTCTCCGGGCTCTCTCAACTCCTCCCTCATGGCTGGACCGCGTTCTGTCCATAACAGCTAAGGAAATACACTTCGCATCAATATCCTGGTTGTGACGGGCTTGTGCACGTGACCGGCATTCAACCATCCTGCGCTCCAACTCCTTGCAATTGCTGTACACATTGTTTGGCTCCTGATCCTGGTCTCAGCCTCAGCAGTCACAGCAGTTACAGCAGTCAGCTTGCTCCAACGCTTCACTCCACTCTGCATGCACTCTGCATGCACTCTGCATGCATGCATGCACTCTCCTCATCAATCACACAGAACATCCTACCTTCACACAACTGCTCACTGCAACAAGCTGCAACAAGACGTGTGATATCGCACCTCTGCTTGCTGATTGACACAACATGGGCTAACCTGCTCACTCTTCTGGCTAACAACTTTGGAACACGCACAACAAGTAGCAACGGTCTGCACTGCCGAATTTTCTCGATAGCGTGGCTCAACACAGCCACTGTTCACAGACTTGGGCGTCAGTGCGCCCTCTTCAAAAATATAGTCGGAGTTCAGGCCAACTGCCGTGGTCACAGACAGCTCACCCCGTGCCTCCAAGAAAAGCACATCAGTCTCACAGAGACTGTCACGCTGCACCTCATTTGGAGTTTCACATCTATTTAGGCCACGCCTACACAGTTGCCTTTCACTCTTGCTGATTGTCTTGAGCTCATACTCCTCTTCTACTGGTCCTGGTCCTCGTCGTCCAGTTGCTCCAGCTCGAAGTTCAATGCCTCGATCTGCCGAAGAACTCGCTGGCGTCGCTTTCCCGCGAGTGTCAAGTCCCTCGGTTCGGCGAGGATTTCGGCGAACGGGTGAGCTCTTGACCTTGCTGTGATGCTCCCAGCCTGGATGTCGTCTCCGTTGGAGTTCCCGTTGCCCTTGCCATCCTTGAGCTCCGTGGCGGGGTTGCCGTTGTCTCCGGATTGGCATCGTTCTGGATTCTCTAACCTTTGCGCTGATCCCTCAGCGCCACATACAAACGAAACTGAGCCATGGTTGGGTGCGCGGTCTTCCCGGTCGCTGCTGATCTGGACTCCACGAACTTCTGCGTCCATGCCACATACCCCTTGTCGGTGACATACGCTGTCGCGAAGTTCACTGCCCCTGCCTTCTGGCAGCGGCGCAGCTCGATCTGGTCCTGTGCTGTTGAGGCTGCACCTCGGCCAGGCTGGAAATCAGGCTCGGCGTCTGGATGAAGGTGCAGGCGCTGCGGGGGCCTCGTGGCCTCGTCCGCTGGGTAACTCATGTCTGTCACCTTGCTCGGAGACGTGTACGGCCTGCGACTTCTGAGAACCCAAACACTCCGTGGCACCCAGCATCTGCGTCTCTGCATCCTGATTCGGAATCACCCCATGTTGTTCGTGAATCCCCATACCCTCGAACAGAGCTATAGCATAGTGCCCTCTCTCCGTCTCTTTAAGCTTGACCCCACACTTGCGAACCACCAACGTAGCCTCCTCCATATCCAAGGTAGCTCCCAAACCCCTTAAGAGTTCCTTGGAAAGAAGCAGTGGAGTCTCAGAACCACTACCGGGCAAAACAGCTGCCTTTACTGCTAGCTGCTTGCTTCCTAACCTCACTGGGATAATGGCTGATCTGTTTGTCGGAATCAAACCCGCATTGCCAAACTTGAGCTCATGACTCTCACGAACAAATCTCACCTGCAGACCAGCACGCCCCAGCACCTCTGACATCCGCTGTAGGACTGACTCCCCTATCAGAGTCCGTCTGCACGCAGTGTCAGGAACCCCATGAGTTGCAAGATCCGCCATGTATGCCTCGCTGCTCGCGAACGATCCTGCTTCGTGAAAAACTCTAACACCCTATGCCCAAGATCCCCCTTCACTTCTTCTTCTCCCACAGGTGGACGATCAAAACTTGAGGTGGCCGCTTCACCCTGGCCGCTTTGATCAGCTGGGAAAAACTTCCAGCTTCTCGATGTCCTCTTCATGGATGAAGAAGTACTCCTGGCTCAACTCCTCCGTGGTGCTGCAACCACTCTGCTCCATCATCATGGCCTCGCTAGTATGATTGGCTTTGCCACTGGACTGTGCTGCACACTGCCTGACTTGCGGCGTGGGCATTCCCGTTTCCAATGCCCGCGTTCATTGCAGACGTGGCAACGGCTTCGTGCCTTCATTTGCTCGATCTTTCCTCGCAAGGTACCTGACAAAGTCCACGTTGGGTTTGATGCAGGCTGCTTGTATCCTCTCGCCATTTTCTTCTGCTGCATCTGTCTTCGAATGTTCTGGTAACTCTCGAACACTTCGATGGCATCCTCCTCGTCGTGGGTGTCCTGCGCCTGCATCTGGTTCGCAACGACCTGGAAGACGTCCTCGGTGTCTGTCTCGTCTGTCTCTTGGTCTGGCGTTCACGCACTTTGTTGCTACCACCCACCTTGGCACATCCTTTTGTAAAAAGATTGCACAGCACTGCTCACCTTCTACTTGAGCGACCCACGTGTATGCAGCACCATCGCTTCTGAGGATCCAGCTGAAGCTTGCGTGAAGCTTGCGAACCATCCCCTCACCTCATCCGGCAGCTCCACGGAGTGCTCCTGAAGCCTGAAGCCTCCGTGGTATGATGCTGCTAACCGTTCACGGTGAGGTTCAGTCTCTCTCCAGACTTAGAAGTACTCGGTGAGATGCTTTCCGTCCAAGGTCTCTAGGATGAGCTGATGGCCGCCTATGCTCCCACATACTTCCTCCGCTTCTCCTGCCAGCTCCATGAGCTTGGCACCCCAGCGTTCCTTGGTGAAGGTATTCGGAAGTGCCAACAGCATGAGCTCTGCCTTGCGCCGCCATTTCCTGTATGTTGAAGGCTTAGCTTAGGCCTCTCGTCCTCTTTTCCCTGGCTGCTCATAACCACTTGTGATTCCAAGCGAAGACCGTGCGCACCGGGGTTGCCTGCAGTGCAAGCTGCCCACTAGTGCTCCGCTACCACCTGTGATCTCGAAAGATCCCAGGTGGCTGCAGCACACTTCGTTTTCCATCAAAGAGCCTCGAACATGCTTGGGAAACCAGGGGGACCTTGCACCGTTACGGCAGCGAATACAAAAGAGGGATGTTGGTAGCATGGACACACTCTGTACAGCTCCAATAGGGGCCCGAGTGGGAGCTTCAACAGTAGATCTTTCATACATGTGAATCGAAGCGGCAATGACAAGGACAGCGCCGGCAGCAGTTTCAACTGCACAGGTTTGAAGCTTTGATGGAAGCTTCCAAAATACTGAAAGGAGGCGGCTAACAGCATGCTTTCTTTTGGAACGACAACTTTGAGACTCAGTCTTCTGCGGCCAGTCTTGAATTAGGCATGATTCAGGCAAGTACGGAGGCGCAGCTGTGTCTCTGCAAAACTCTCAGACAGCAGCATGCTCAATTCCGCAGTTGTTCTCTAGCGCTGCCATAGACGTTACCTTGCTGATTGTGGCCCGCCGTGCATTATCGAAGTATCCCAGGAAGGCTTGAAATCCCTAAGCAGCACTGGCGCATGTGAATTGCGGCTGCCGTTTTTAGCTTGAATGACAGAAGCTTGATTTGAAGCCTTGCCGGTCGCGTTGATGAAGGGGTTCGAATAAGAGCGGCTGAAACGGAAGCTCTAATTGAGTCAGAAAAGTTAACAGCAGCTTCAACATAAGAATCTGAAGAGAATCTGTTAAAGATGTACTTTCCAGAAAACAGCTTCAACAGAAGCGTTACAAGCCAACAGAAGCTTCAGTGGAGTTTCTAATGAAGAGCTCTTTCGGAACATGTGTTGTCAGTGTTGTCCATTCTTTCTTCTTTGGACGCTGTGAATCTGTACGCTCTGTGAATGTCCGGTCGCAGGCAGGAGCGCCCGCTGCAAGCACGGGTGGAGACCTCGAATACCAAACGAAGCTAAAAAAGCTGTTGTTGATCATGAGTGGTAGGTGTCTTTTCCAGCTGGTCCCGAAGACGCGGCACTGCCGTAGATGTTGGGCACCGCAGATACTTCTGCAGAAGAGCATAAGCCAGTGCAGATCTCCAGGCGACAAGTGCGTCGCGGGCTTCGACCACCACTGCCTTTGGCTGAATACAGCCGGGATCCCAACACATGAAGATGGCATGAGACGGCGTAAGTTGTTTGCAGAGAGGGTCTTGTTCGTGTGCCCCTTTCAGTGCATCGGCGTGGCCAACTACCGGCCCTGGGTAGTCTTCGTGGTCTCGCTGTGCCTTTGGTCCATCCTGAGCTGCCCAGTTTGCAAAGAGCCAAACAGCTTTTGCTAACAGCTTTTGCTTTTTAAGTTAGGCTTTTGCTTTTTGGGCTTTTGCTTTTTTAAAATTCTTTGCTTTTTTCTGCCTTTGCTGAGGCTGCTGCCTCTCCGCCTCGGCGCTCTTCCGGAGCCGTCACATCCGAAGGAGAGAGAAAAGGGCGAAAGAGAGAAAGAGGTCAAAGAAGGGTTAGAGAAAGAGAGAGGAAGGGTCAAGGAGTTAAGGGAGTCTTAGGTTCTTAGAGGAGGGTGTTTTTTTCGGAGTGTTTTTGTCATTTCCTGCCTTTTCCGAGTCGTCGCCTGGCCGTGGGGCATCGGCCGCTGGTCTTGGCCACGGGGCTCCTGGCCGCGCTGGCCAGCGCCTGGCTGCTGATCCTCTTAGGCGCGTTTTTTGGGCGGAGGTTCGTTTGCTCTCCCGTTCTTCCTTCAAGGTTAACTTAGAGGAACAGCTCCTGTAAGAACAGCATAAAAGAGACATCTTCAGTCTGTGTGAAATGCAGCACTCCACGCCTACCTGGCCTTTGTTGGCCTCACCACGCTGGAGTGGTGCAAGGGGCTGTCCGAAGAGAGGCCGGTCGCACCTAAAGGGGACTTGAGCTCACCAGGGACTTGCGAAGGGCCGAAAGGGGCTAAATTCTTCGAGGTCGGTTTCCGAGAGCCGGTGCCCGAGACGGAGCAACGAACAAAGCAACGCCTTTTTACCTGAAGCCCACCCTACCTGCCCTACCTTCCATTTGAACCTAAGGTGGGCTGTCATGAACTCAGTCAATCGGTGAGAAGATTGGGTTAAAGCCTTCACTCCAAGGCACGTGCCAAAGGAGGAGGAGGTGGGGTAACATCAGGCTTGCGCATTGCTGGGGGTTGCTTGCTACCTATATCAGGTCACACCAGCGTCGGCGCGTTGGGCGAGGCATGCGCAGACATGTGACGACTCTGACAGCGGCACCGAAGGATCTCCGCATTTTGCATTTGTTGCACGTTGCCTTGAGTTTAGGCTGAGGGAGGTCGTGCGGCGTGACGAGCGCCGAAGGCGCCTTTTCACAGCCCCAAACCCGCTGGCAAATTGCTTTGTGTTGAACATGATGTGACTGCCCAGCATTGCGCAGCTCTCTCCTCCCCTTGAAGCTCCAGCAGGTCCAACTGGCAGATGCTGTGGAACAGGCACGGGACACAGGGGCCGGGACTGTGATCATTGGGTTTTGAAAGTTGTCCGCCTTCGTTGTGAGGCACCTGTCGCTCTCTTCCGTGGCCACCCTGGAAGACAGCTCCAGCGAGGAGAAGAGCCAGGAGACAGCAGAAGACGCAAATTCAAAGCACAGCGAGCCGCGCACAGCGAGTGCAATACATATTGTTGCTGCATGAACGTTGTCTGACAGTACTGTTTTCGCACTCCGGGTAGTTTAGCTACTTTTGAGGCTGCTTATTTAAGCTAAGAGCCTACTTGTTGCGGTCCTCACTTTCCATGCTACTTGCTTAAACGCTTTACTCGTTGCTTCCGCAGTCGCCGTGAAAAGGTTCGACTTACCGGTAGTTTCCGTCTTCACTTGAGTGCTGAATCCTGTAACAACCGGTTATCAGCCGTAGACAGCTATGGCCGGTGCCGCACTCTCTACTGCTTTGGTTGATCCTCGTAACATACCTGTACCTACAACGGCATCTACCCCAGATGTCGAGATGCATGGGCCTCCCACACTCGAGCAGAACACGTTTGTGGACGCTCGTTCCTTGCACCTTATGCAGCAGAATGTGGAGGTTTCCTACGCAGGTGAAGCCCATGCAGCTGCTCAGGCCGTGCGTCTTGCAGCTGAACTTCGGCTGAGGGAGTATGAGGACTCAGCCCGCAATTTTGTGTTGGCCGAGATGCAAGAGCTCCGACAGGTAGCGGACGCTACGCACGAGGGAAGAATTGCAGCACTGACCAATCGCTTCAACACGTTTGCTGATGAAATGAGGTCTGAGCTGAGATCTACTCAGGAAACATTTGATTGAAGACGAGCAGAAAATGCTATGCAAGAGCGGCATACAGAACACCTCATCAACCATCTTGTCGAAATGTCCGAAAGGAACGATAGGAAGGATGAGTCAATGCTAGCCATGAGGGAAACCTTCGACACCAGCCGTTCCGAAACTATCTCCTTCTTAAAAGGAAAGTTTTCCGATGAGCTTGCCGCTCATCAGGCAGAACACAGGAGAATCCTGACACTGGAGGAGGTAGAGTTTGATTCTTTGATCCAGGACCTGTCTGAACAAAATGCAGAGTTGCAAAGGCGTCTTGGTGAAGCTGTTCGATCTTCAGGTGGGGCACATGTGCCACGTCAAGAGGATAGCTTTCCGCAAGGAACAGCCTCAGGTGAGAACGCAATCTTTAGTCCCGCAAGTCTAAGGACCGAAATCACGGGCAAAGCAACTTCTGCACTCCCTGATCCTTACCAGGTTCCTGAAGATTTGAAGGATCTGTTTGCAGGACCTCAGGTTTTCACAATCTCCTCCGGTAACACCACACCGCGTACCGCGTGAGGGGCGAGCTACATTCTACATCAAGCAAGGACGTCCCTGATGTGGCCGCAGATAAGCCGTCGCCAGAAGCCCTATTGGTCAAGGCCCTGCAGTCTGTGATGGGCAAGAGCGACGATGACGGTAAACCCAAGGCTAAGGAAGCAGAGAGCATAAGGCTTTTGGACTTTCCAACCCCAGAAACTTATCGTTCTTGGAGGATCGCTGCTCGCGAGGCGATTCGCGCCGCTTCCGATCGCCCAGATGAAGCATTCGCATGGGTTCAAGCCGTTTATGCTAAGGATCAATCATTGGAAGGTTTGCGGATCCAGGCAAATTCCTCACATTGGATACGAAACTGCTTTCCGCAATTTCCAAGGTCGTAAAAGGCGAGCTAGCACGCCAAATTGTCAACTACAAGGAATCTGAAGCTGCTCACGCAAGGGCTGTGCGGGGCCGTCAGGTGCTTTACATGTTTGAGCAATACTTTAAGACTAATGAGGAGGTTGGGGCCCTCTACTCAGTTGAAGACCTCCTCAAGGTCAGCTTGACAAATGACGATTTGAGCTCCTTTATTCACAATTGGGAGTCGGTCATCGCTGGCATTTCTCATGTTCCAGAAGAGTTGGCCCTCAGAGATATCTTGCTTAGGCAAATCAGAGGCTCTCACAGACTCAAGTATGACCTGGAAACGTATGATCGTGCTAAGGAAGGTACCGAGACGCATAGCTACCAGTTCCTCCTCAGTTCAATCAAGAATCTCCTCACCCGTGAGCGTGTTAGGAAGAATAGGGACAAGATAGCTAAGGCGCATGGTGCTAAGTACGGTGCCCCAGCTCAGGAAGATGGCAAGGGCAAAGGCAAAGGTGGTAGGAAAGGCAGAGAAGCATCCAGGCAGCGTGAAACCAGCCAAGTTCCAAAGGGATACTGCTTTACATGGGTCAAAACAGGCAAGTGCGAGAAAGGTGCTGATTGCAAGTACAAACATGGGTTCTCGCGCAGGAGGAGCAAGAGCAGGAAGAAAAAGGGCGACAAGCCCGCAGCGTGTTGTGTTTTGGTGGCGAGGGTCAAGTCAGAAGCCACCCGCGAGGGTGCCTCCGCTGCTATGCCCAGTTATGCTGCAGCCGCCCGCAAGGGCGAGCCCACTTCCTCCGATCGCTGGGAACACAAAGCTAAGGAAGGCATTCTGATCCGCCATCACGCCATTCCAAGGTCAGACGGGTTTGTCCCCACCAAGGATTCACCCGTGCCTGCTTCTCGGCTTAATGCTAAGGCTGTGGTTGTCATGAACCTTGACTCCGAGGGCAGGACGGGCATTGAGAAAACTTGGGATTGGAGATCTAGCAAATTAGATTCGGGCCTCGGTGAAATGGACGTGATCTACTGCCTTCAAAATCCAAAATACAAAGAAGAAGAAGAAGGTTTCGTTCATCAACAGGCCCGAGATCAAAGAGATTCATGCCGAGGGTGAGGGATGGAGGCATATCCCATCTCCAAGTACAAGGATAAATTGTTTCAAGACCGCGCAGGACTGCCCGAAAGGGGGACCCCGAAGAAGTTGCTATTGCGCAATCAGTAGCTCAGAATCTCCACACTGCAGTCATGAATCAGCTCAATGGGTACGCACCAAAGTGTAAGTACAAGTGCAAGAACGATTCAGGAGTTTGCAAGCATTGCTGTGTTGAACTTCAGTCTAACACACAACAGCAAGCACAAGCTCCCGCGTGCCCGGCATCTACCCCTCTTGAGGTCATCGCTGACACTGGTAGCGAAGAGGACTTGATTAGCAAGTACAATCGACGTATGTGCTTCCCAGAGACCCAAGAGACCAAAGCTGAAGACCCCGTGTA